TACTTTCATTAAAATACTTAGAACTCGGGACGTGCTATTTAGCGAATTTTCATGGCCTCCCGCAAAGTTATCAACACGTTAGTCGCTTTAGGCGCGCATTTTAATAATCTACTTTCCTAAACTCGGGTGCACATTTATGTGACCCAAATTCAAATCTCAACGGTGTTAAAATATGTCAAAAACCACGGGTGCATTTATGTGACGTGGTTCAAGACGTGTTTTGATAACGCTGCAATTTTTTTTAATATTAATTTAAAGCCGTAAATAATTTAAAATTGCACTATAGGTTGAAACATGTGTTAAAATCTGGTAATAGGCCAATTATGATAGTTTAAGCGACCGTGCTAGAACCACGGAATCCGGGGGTGCCTAACACCTTCCCTCGGGTTAACAGAATTCCTTATTCAGAATTTCTGGTTCGCAGACTTCACTTGGAAAGTCGAAAATTTCCTCGATTTGGGATTCAAAATAAACCGGTGACTTGGGACACCAAATAAATTATCCCAAGTGGCGACTCTGATAAATAAATAGTCTCATTTCGAATAATATCACTTAAAGTGGAAAAACTCCCTTATATACTACCCTTCGGGGTGGTGTGTAAAAAAGGAGGTGTGACACGTACATTGTTATCTGCATAGGCTATTTACGTGGGTGTCTTGTCATAGCTTCGTCACTACTTCGTCGAGGTTAGGCTCGACACTTACGGAGTACATGCGGTCGGTTGTACTCATACTATACTCTGCACTACTTGGTGCAGACTTTGGTACTGGCCCCAACTGTTCGTGAGGCGTAGCAGCTTGGATTTTCTCATTGGAGACTCGAGGTAGATCTGATGGCGTTCGCAGACCCTGAAGTCCCCTTTTATTTCCCCTATCTTACTGTTTCTTTTCGTTCAAGACGGTTGTATTTATTTCAGACCCTGTTTGTAGAGATTTTAGAAGCTCGTGAATTGTGACTCCACATTGGGATTGTATTAGATATTATGGGCTTTTATGTTATTTCGCACGCAATTTTAGTTTTATTTTGGCTTAATTGACTTTACTTATTGAAATTGAATAAAATTGGCTTAAAGATTCTCTAACATTGGCTTCCTAGCAAGTGAAATGTTAGGCACCATCATGGTCCCGAAGGAGGAAATTTCGGGTCGTGACACTACTATATAAAGGGAGGTTTGATCATTTGTAAAGAACACTGTAATACGCACCAAAAAGCAATATACTGTTATTTCTAGTTCTTATTATCTTGGTATTCTGTTCTAACATTAGTTGAGGCATTTTTTGGCTCGAGGGTGATCAAACTCCAAGGCTAAGGCTGTCCAATTTGTGTGGTTTGAATTTATTTTCTTATCATCAATCTCAATATTAATCTGTTTTCTTAATTTGTATCAAGTTATATCACGTATCCTTAAAATCGCGTATAAATTCAATTATTATCCGATTTTGAGAGTAAACAATACTCTTTCCAAGAGAAAAAAGATAAGTGCAGCAGCTCCATTGAAGAAAAAAATGAGATCCTAAAAATCCAGCATGCAGCTTCATAGATAAAAAAACCAGTGCAAAAGTGCACTTAACTGTGCAATAATATCATTTTAATATATCAGCAACTTAATCAGAAAAACCAGTGCAAAAACGCACTTAGCTGTGCAATAACAAGTCTGGTAATGTAATACATACAGAAAAAGAAAAAGAAAAGAAAAGAAAAGAGGACATTACCTTGATTTTGGTCTAAATTTGGTTGAAGAATTGGGAAAGAACAAGGGGGAGGAGAGAAAAGGGTTGGATATTTTGTTTGAAAGAAGACAATGAAATAAAATTATTGGTAGGGTTAACCCATATATTTTTGGCTTGTATAGCACGTGATTATGGTGGCCAAAATTTAACTAGTCCTCGTTATGAGATTTTTACATAGTTGTTCCCTTTTTTAAAATTATTCTCATAAATGATAGTAATAATCTTTGTTTATTTCAAAACTGGCACATTTTTTTACTTTTTTAAAACTTTCACGTTGGTAACTCATTAACTAAGGGTTCCCTCTACATCAATACACTTTTATTATATTTCCTTTTTCCTCTCTTCCATAATTTTTTCCTTCTCTTCCATAAATAACACTTACTCAAATATATCAAAGATTCTGGAAAAAAAAATATCTAAAAAATAATCCCCTCTTTAGTATAAATTTGTCATAATAAATTTAAAAATTCTTTATGCCATGATTTTCTCTTCCTTTTCACTATTTTCTCTCCCTGCCACAAAATTCAATCACTAAATAAAATGAAAGGCTTTAAACGTGAAGCATTCATGAGTGATTTTTATAATTTATATATAATATTAGTATTATATAATATTTAAACAACTACAATGTGCTCTAAATATATAATATTTATACGATAAATATGTGGTATATTTTATATTATAAAATTTAATATTTTGAATATACGTCGTATATATTTATTATATTGAGAAAAAGAATTATATACTATGTATATCCAAATAAATAATTTTTTATACTAATAATATTTAATTTATACTTCATAATATACTTATTAAATAAATAAATATTAATGTATTATAGAAATTATATAATATGTATAATAGGTAAATATTATAAAGATCACTTATTCATCGAAGTATGCATTATTATACAAGCATTCACATTTATGCTACCAAATAAAACGTTATTATAATTAAAATAGAGAGAAAGTACGAATAAAATCATAATTAATAACAATTCCATTATTAGATGGGAAACTGAAACCCTCTGGTTTTATATTTAAGGAAATAAATACTTTAAATGCGTGATTGTAGGTAAGAGTTTAAAACTTTCTACTAGAAATATAATTATTTAGTTGCCTTGCATGTAAAATACCTGCTGGTATGATTGTGAAATTTTTTCTTAGATTTGTCTATTTATGTTTTTTGGCCCCTCGTTATCATGTCAGCCCCCAAAGGTGGTAAGTGAAAGATATAGTTCGGTCATAGACCGCGCAAAGTAAAAGTGAGTAATTGATAATTCCAATAGTTCACATAGAAAAGTTTTAATTACTCTACTGTAAGTTCTCGTTATTTTATTGAATTTCTAAGCGAAAATGAGGGCTCTTATGTTAGCATTTTAAATGTTTTTCTTTTCCTTTTTATTGTTTGTAAATCCAACGATTAATTGAGTTTGACGTTATATTGTGGGATCCACCCAATCAAAATAAATAAAAAAGGAAATATAATGATTGAGTGGTGACAACAGATTTTGCACAAACGTAACAAGACTTGGTGAATGAACCTGGTAAAGGGACACGTTGATCACTTGATTGTGACTGGGCATTAGTTAGTGTCTTTTGGGAATGGAGTCGAGCCATAAGCCTGCATCACATTAATTTAGTAAGAAATGGAGTGGACCCCACGATGATAATAGCATCACATTGCTAAATCTGTACATGTCAAATCATGGTCCAAATTTTCATATTTTTATCTAACCAAACTAATTTATGTGAATATGTTTGACTGGGCATCGAGTTTAAGAAAAAATGAAGACTTTTGGAATTTGTGGTCCTAAACAAGTTAAAAATGGGTTCAGAGTATTTGTGTGGTTATAAAAGCTTCTCATTAAGGGTAGAATTGTAAGTTTAAGCTAAATTGTTACTAAATTTAAAAAGAGGTCATTTTTTTTTGAACGGACCAAAAAGGAAATAGGTTCACATAACGGAGAGAGTACAAAAAATATTTGCAGCGCTGTGTTCCTGGAAGTATCCCTCACTCGAATTTTACGTGAACGCCAAAACCTTTTGTACCCCGAGCCATTTTTTTTTTTTTTGTTCCATATAACAAAAGCTAATTTTGTTTTTATATTTTTTTGTTCGGATCATTACATTCACAGTTAGGATCCTTGTTTGTTTCATTTCAACACCCCGAAGAAAGGAGTGAGAAGCAATAATAGTGTAGCAGTTCACACACAGTGACGAAAACAGTCTGTCAAGAAAAAGTTAAAGAGTTGCATGTTATTAGCTGTAGGAAAATTTTATTTTGTGTCTCATACAGTTGACTTTAGTTGTATGAGGTATCTTTTTTATCTCATAGTTTTATGGATCTAAATTTTTGTAGACCCAGAAGTGTAAGATTGGGGTCCACAAATTTGTGAGATAAAACGGAGCCTCACATAACTGATGTCTGTTGTGTGAGACACACAATAAAACTTCTCTTAGCTGTATAAAATACAAAGTGTTGTTTTTTTTAATGTGTAATAGTCTCTCAGGGATTTTGTGTAGTCAGAGGCGGATCCAAAATTTTGGTAGGATTGGTGCACTATTAAAAAGAAGTATATAAATTTTACGTGTTCAACCTTTACTGCTTACTATTACCCACCCATTACACTTTTGAAATTATAAGTTTAAAATTATTATTTTTTAAAATAATGATTTTCTTACATCTATATCTATTTTCCATGTTGAAAATATTTGGATCAGTTAAACCCATTCACTATATACTACATCATACACTGCTACTAGTTTTAACATACACATTTTGTTTAATTGAATAAGATTCTACTGTGAAAAAGAAGCATAGGAATTTTAATGTATGAAAATTTTGAAAGAATAAACTAAGCAAAAAAAGATATAATAAGAAAAAGTAATTAATAATATGCAAAAAGTGACACCGCACACGCCCATCTTTCGTGGGCGTCTAGTTCTAAAAAGATGGAAAAAATAACAAGATTGACATAAGATTTGAACTCACAACCTCACGTAAAGAGGTGCACCAAATAACTATCACATCATATAATATTTTGAGCATGAGTGCATATACAAATATTTAAGTATTTTTAAAAAAATATAACATTACTATACATGATTTATGGAGGGGAGCCTGGGTTCACGTGCCCCATAAAACCTCCTAGATACGTATAGTAGTCTTGTGAGTGGAAAATATCTCATTTTTATGCTATTATATTGTTCCACTCATATATTATATTTTTCACGTTCTGTTTAATGTCTTATTCTTATTAGTTACGGTGGATATTAATATTTCCATGTGGGACATTATTTCCCAACAAATATACTACTCTTTTGCTACAAAGAGCCACAAACATTTCAAAGAAGAAGGAAACAGAGAACAGAGATTATGGCAAAGATTCAGAGGTGTAACTATGTTATGTATCTCTTGGTTTTAATACTCTTGACCATGAATATATTCTTTTTTATTAAAGAGTTGGAGTCGAAGAGTAAATGCAGAGAGCAGGAGAAGAAGAATCAGGGGAAGTTGAGTTGGAGCCAGAAAGCAGCAGAGGAAGCAGAAGCAGTAGCCTCAATTTCATGCTCAGGCCATGGAAAAGCCTATCTTGATGGCCTTATCGTAGATGGAATTCCTACTTGTGAATGTTATACTTGTTATACTGGACCTGATTGCTCTTTACTTATCCCCAACTGTTCTGCTAACGCTTTCGGGTACTAGTGATCTTCCTTGTGATTTACGATATTACAGTAAACTAGGTCAAAATTATGTAAATGTTGAATCCCCTTGACTTTTGGTGTATTTACTTCTTTTGAATCTAAAAATTGTGGTTTGGCCACTAGTAACAAAGTCTTTTAACTCATAAATGTAGTTGGGATCCTCTATTCTATGAGCCATTCTGGATGGAAAATGCAGAAAGCAGTGCAGTAGTGATAGCAGGTTGGCATAGAATGGCCTATTCCTTTCCTGATCCAACCTCTCACCTTTCCCAGGAGCTCGAGAAAACCATTAGGAAGTTACATTCAAATGCCAAGAACGCTATTACTGATGGAAGATACATCGCTATTGGTGTTGGCGCTAGTCGCCTCCTCAATGCTGTAGTTCATTCTCTTTCCATGGAGAATTATTCTTCCTCTCCTTACCCTGCAAAATTTTACGCAAAACCCCCTCATTATCCGGTTCGTACGTTCTATCACAAAGTTTTACATTATCCTTGAGTTTTGTATAAATTCTTTATGTTGGCGATGCATATAAAAGTTAAATTCTTTACGAATTTTGGTTTTGATTTCTCAGTTCTATAAGCTTCAAACGGATTACTTGCAAACACGACATTATGAATTTATCGGAGATCCATCCATGTTGAACAACTCTGATAATATTGGTGGAGATGTGTTTGAGTTTGTGACTTCACCAAGCAATCCAGAAGGGAATTTAGAAGGTCCAGTTCTGAAAGGCGGCCCAAATGTGAAGTACATTTTTGATAGGGTATATTATTGGCCTCAGTTCACAGCAATTCCAGCTCCTGCTGATGATGATCTCATGATTTTCTCCTTGTCTAAGCTAACTGGTCATGCTGGAACCAGGCTCGGGTAATATAGACGCAAATTTTATGTCTAGACCTTGATTTATCTGCGTAAAATTTACTGAAATTGTTATATTTGAACTATGAACCAATAACTTGATGAATCCATAGAATTAAAATTCTAGATCCGTTGCGTCTGATCCACATGAATTTGTGTAGGTGGGCTGTTGTGAAGGATGTGAATGTGTATAATAGAATGAAGGAGTATATTCATCAGGCTGATATGGAGATGTCTAAAGATACACTATTGAGAGCTTTAACTATTTTGAGAGTTGTTAATGAAGGAGATGGCAAGAAATTCTTCAATTTTGCACATGAAATCTTGAGGGATCGCTGGGAAAAAATTAGTCATATCTTCTCCTTTTCTAAACGTTTCAGCATTCAACATATTCCAACTCAGTATTGCACATTTCTTGACAGAGCAAGAGAACCATCTCCAGGTGATATTTCTTCTCATCTTTCTTATTCCTCTAATAGTGAAGTCATTTTCTACTGCTCCTTTCATTTTATTTTATATGATATTGAACGTAAGAAAGGAATAAACACTTTTGATGCATAAATTAAATATAGGTATTATATGATCCCTCTGTTCAGTTTATGTGAACTTATTTCCTTTTTGCTCCGTTTCAAAAAGAATGACCCCTTTTTAAATTTGGAAACTATTTAGCTTATACTTACAATTCTAACCTTTTATAACCACACAAATACTCTGGACCCCTTTTTAACTTGTTTAGGACAACAAATTCCAAAAGTCTTCATTTTTTCTTAAACTTTGTGCCCAGTCAAACAAATTTAAATAAATTAGAACGGAGGGAGTATAACATATTAAAAGTACTCTTCAAATTTTTGTGGTCTTATGACATGCCGCGAGTTCCTACTATACATAGAAGTATAAGAGAGTCTCATTAAAAGACAAATGAAAAGAACATAATTAAAAAAAAGGTATCGATCTTTTTGAAATTGACAAAAAAGAGCTTAGACATATAAAATGGAACGAAAGAATACAAGCTTAAGAGTATTAACTCAAATGGTGTGCGGATATTCTTTTCTTTTTTTTTATTTTGTATTTATATTGAAGCCTAACTAAATTTGTTCTGCTTCCGCATTCCCTAATAAAAAAGACCCCATGCCTATAATTCAAAGCCAAAATCTATGACTAAAAGTAACGAAGAATTTATCACTCCATCAAAAATTTTATTGGTATATGCCAATATCATTCTCACTGTTTAATACGTACTGCTGTCACCTACCATTACCTCCCAGGCTATATGTTAATCTTCTTTTATCACAACCAACCAAGTGACTCAAGAAAGGATTACTTTGTATTATTTTAAATTTTTACATGACAAAATTGAACCCTATCAAATTACTTGACCAAGTGCTTCAAAATTATAAGATACTTATAGTACGTAATTTGGTGAGAAGCAGTTTATATTTGACTAATTAATTTGAAAAACACTTCTGAGCAGCAATTAGTATTTGATCAAGCTTTTAAAAAGTATTTTAAGTATATTTTGCTCAAAAGTATTTTTCAAAAAAGTGATTTTTGGAGAGAAACTATATTTTTTCTGTTTCTCCAAAACTTCTTCTGGTTCTATTTAAAAACACTTTTTTTTCTTCCAAAAGTTTGTCTGACTTTAATTTTTTTATAAACACTTTTTTTTTGTATATTGTACTTATATAGTATTGAAACAACAGTACTGAAGTTGATTAGGGCACCAAAACTTAAATTACCAACGTCCCCAACTTAAACATGTATTGGTCAAAATCTGACCACAACGGTTAGACCGACCAACGCTCCGTTCACAGACGACATGGCAACAAGGATCGACATGGGTTGTTCTATATCTTGCCCTCATGACTTTCGTCGAAGCAGTAAAGAATGACCTCCAGCGAGTAACCGAGGAGTGTGAGGCATAGAGAAGCATCGGATAGAGCGTGTAACCGGAGGTCCAGGGCTGTATATATAGGAGGGTAAAAACCTCTCAAAAGGGGGGGCCTTTTTTCGGGGTGGGGGGGGAGAAAACATCTCTCCTATTCTCCATCTACCTCCTCTCTGTAACTTCGAAAAATAGAAGGATAAAGGAGGCAATCCGGGGCGATTGATGTAATATGTAACATGTTCTACTCCACCGATTAATGAGAACGCTACTGGGAAGCTTCAATAAGATTGTTTATCTTCTTTGTATTATTCTTCTTTTAGTTCATTGATCTGGAATTCATTACGAATGACTAAGATTTACCCCATCATTTTCTTTGATTGATTTGTTCAAAAAGGTTGCAATATCTTTTGAGTCAAACAATTTGGCGTCGTCTGTAGAGATTTCTTAGTGAAATGTCCTAGTTTCTTCCGGATCAAAGACAAGGAACACGATTATCCCTCAAGAAGATCGCTAAGACGAAGCCCTACCCAAGCGTAAGAAAGGCACAGCCTAGAAAGGAAAAGAAAGCTGAATACAGCCATCAAATGTAGGAACGGCTCCATCACCCATCGAAAGGCCAAGCAAAACGAGCTACGTTATAAACCTACTCTGATTCACCGATTCATCGGATGGAGGTAAGAAAAGTATCGTTCTAATTTGCTTTCTGCTCTCTGCTCAAGTAGGGACACAAGCACCGCGCGAGCGAGCGAACAAAGAAACACTTCAATTGGGGAATGAAAAACTACCACAGGGCAACCGGAACATCGCCTGCCAATTATATCTCCGAAAAAGGCAGGAGTCAGATAAGGAAACTCCTATGAACACACCGAACAAATATAAGAAAAACGGCGACATTTCATATCCTCCAGTATTACATACCCCGATGCGAACAATATCTAGCTAATAGGGACTCTCCCAAAAGACGCCCGATTCTCCGAAAAACTGGGACTGACGACGGGTTAACATTTCGATGAGTCAAAATAACACCCTTTAAGGCCAGGGGCCTTCGCCAAAAAGAAGAGTTCGACCTCAATCGAACAACGACGGGTTAATATTTCGATAAGTCAAAATAACACCCTTTAAGGCCATGGGCCTTCGCCAAAAATATGAGTTCGACCTCGATCGAACGACGACGGGTTAATATTTCGATAGGTCGAAATAACACCCTTTAAGTCCAGGGGCCTTCGCCAAAAAAAAGAGTTCGACCTCGATCGAACAACCACGGGTTAATATTTCGATAAGTCGAAATAACACCCTTTAAGGCCAGGGGCCTTCGCCAAAAAGATGAGTTCGACCTCAATCGAACGACGACGGGTTAATATTTCGATAGGTCGAAATAACACCCTTTAAGGCCAGGGGCCTTTGCCAAAAAGAAGAGTTCGACCTCGATCGAACAACGATTCGATAAGTCGAAATAACACCCTTTAAGGCCAGGGGCCTTCGCCAAAAAGAAGAGTTCGACCTCGATCNTTCTAATGAATATTTCCTCTATTTGTACTTTTTCTTTTAATATTTTTCTGGGAATACCCCTTATAAATAGGAGGGGAGGACTTCCCAAAAAAAGGGGGGTCTCTCTCTCGATCCCTCTCCCTCTCCCTCTCTAGAAAATATGTAAACACATCTCTTAAAAGAAAAAGAGATGATCTGTGATCCCAAAACTTCATGAGATCCAAAAAGGATCCTAAGATTCATGTATTTGTCTATCATTCATCTTTATCTTTATCAAATGAGAGAGGATCCGCTTCGCTCAAAATCGGGTGAATCCTTTCTTTTATTTACATTTTATTGTCACTTAATGTTACTTAATGCATCTTTCTTTATGATATTAAATCTGGCCATAATCGCCGCCAACATTTATACTCGGCTATGTTTTTCTATTAATGCTATTAATCTCGGATCTAGAGTTAATTGTCTTTAACTAGGATTTACCCCTTCTTCATTGATTGATTTGCTTAAAAAGAATCAAAAGTTTTTTGAGTCAAACAATTTGGCGCCGTCTGTGGGGATTTTCTAGTTAAAATAATAGTTTTTTCTAGATCTAAAATTCAATCCTAGCGAGTTCTTGTGTAGCTTCTAGAGCACTTACATTTACCACAGCTTTTGCTTGCTAATGACCAATAAAATCTTCATGCATCACATGTCAAAGCTTTCTGAAAAAATCCTATACCCAAACCCAAGCATAAAGTGAAGTCTATATTTCTCTCTCTGCCTTTTGTTGTTTGCAATAAGAAAGAAGCGGAATCTATGCTTTTGATCAAGTCCATGGCGGACAAGGAAAAAAGCACAAACAACAGGTTTATCCGCCCTTTGTCACACAAAATTGATGGGAACCCGACCTCCTTTTGGGGTTTCTCAGCTCCTCGGAAGTAAACAGAGTACTGACTTCTGGATTTCGTTTTGGGCATATATACATACACCCTTGTAGTTGCTAGGGCTGTTGTTCACACATTTTGCACTTCGATTTTTGTGTCCAAGCACGTCCGCTTGAACCTGTGCTCGATAAGATGGATTGTGAATTGTCGGTGCATGCATCAAACGTATAAGTTCATGCCATATGTATTATGCATAAGTTCTATGATTTAATATAGTTGCTTAATGAGTACAATTTTTCTTTAATTTGTCAATTGATCATACAATTGATCAGATTCCGGCGAATAATTATTCTTTATCAAGCATCTTTGATATGCCGACATGTGAATCTGAAAAGGGCTCTTCTTTAAGTTTAATAGAAACCATGTTTTCTTCTCATCCAATTACTACTCCTTCTATATTCGATTTGCTTCAACCTCCATCACCACCTGTACCTTTATTGGTTCCAGCACAAATAGTCAATAAGATTCCGTCGTCTGAGATTGTAAATACTCCTAATTCGTCCTCCATCTCTTCATCATCAACTGAAGCTGCTGCCAATGATGATCAACTACAGCCCACCACTCAAACAGTAGATGATGATGATCAACACAACAAAAAGAAACAGTGATGAATTTGGGAGAGGCTCGACTTTACTTCAGCGTCACCGATTCCTGCTTATTGTGCTTGCCCTCTAAGCATTTCTTTGCACTAGATCAAACTGAGGTAACAATTTTGTTTTAACTTACTACTTCTCCAAGTGGAATAGAAGCAGGAGCAATCACCAAGGAAATGCGTCGTATTCTCCAATACAAGCAAAATCAAACAAACTGGGACTCCCCCAGGAAACGCATCTTATTCTCCAATACAAGCAAAATTAAGCAAACTGGGACTCCCCCAGGAAATACATAATATTCTCCAATGCAAGCAAAATTAAGCAAACTGGGACTCCCCCAGGGAACACCCTTTAAGGCCAAGGGCATTCGCCAAAGAAGAAGAGTTCGACCTCGATCAAACGACGACGGGTTAACATTTTGATATGTTCGAAATAACACCCTTTAAGGCCAAGGGCCTTCGCCAAAAAGAAGAGTTCGACCTCGATCGAACGACGATGGGTTAACATTTCGATAAGTCGAAACAACGCCCTTTAAGGCCAGGAGCCTTCGCCA